GGTTTTCCCTGGGCTTTGGGAGCCGGCTAATTAAACAGCCTGCTGCGGCGTGTTGGGTCACGCGGGTCTTTAATGATGGGTCTGCAAGCGAAGGAGAGAGTTCGGTCATTGCACCGGGCGGTCTCGCCTCCCTGAGTCTCGGCACGAAGGCCGGGAACCTGGCCAGTATGTCCCAGTATAACCGGGGTGCGCAAGGGTCTGGTGTGGCTCCTGGCAGAGGAACCTGTTGGGTCTCTTGGGGACGGGAATTGGGCTGAAACAGCGACGCGTGGAGCTCTCTGCCCCCCTCCCAAAACTCCTGAAGTCCTGGTTCATCTCCTTTCACAGTCCAAAAATAGAGAAAATTACTCACCCGGCTCAGGACGTCCCTCCAGAGCTGGGGAACGGGCGCCCCGGTGCTCCCACGGGACACCAACCGCCCCGCCACGGCCGGTCCCTGGGCTCCGCGTGTTCCTCCCAGCCCCGCTTGCGCAGGGATCAGCCGCTTTTAGCAATGAAACGAAACAGCACAAGCTGAATTTGTAACTATGAAAGGAGGGGGGGGGGGGATTAAAAAGCCCTAGTAATTATTCATAGTGGGTTTTTTTTTTTCTTTTTAAATGATGAATCGTAAGTCAAGAAGCGTCTCTTCAGGGCTGAGAGCCTGGATCTACCTCAGGCGGCTCCAGAGCAAGGGCGGTGGGAGATATCGCCCGTGTCCTCACCAGGAAAGCCAGATTTACTCATTTCCATATGCATAATAATGCAATTACAAAGTCAGCCTAAACCTGCGGTGCAGACAAAGAAACAGGCGGCTTCGTAATTAATCACACGTGTAAGAATAAAGCCTGTTACATTAGGGTTCATTATTTGGCGGATTAATTAAAGAAAAAAAGAAAAGAACGTTTTCTGCAGTCGCAAACGTGTTATTAGACTGCAAAGACGGTCCCTGGAAATAGTTTGTAGGTGCGTGGCAGCTCCCGTGCGCTGGCACACGCTGGTGCGTTATTCAGCTGGGCTGGCTGCTGGTGTAACTGGGCTGGGAAATCGCTGGAGTCGGTGCCTGGATTCGTTTTCCGAGGGCGCTGGAAGATGGAGGTGGGGGGTCTTGGAGCGGTGCTGGAGCAGCGATGCCCCTGCTAGAAATCACCCCCAGGCTGGAAATCTGGTTTTCACATCCACCCCGTGCTCTTTACAGTTTTCCCTTTCTTCGGGAACTCACAAAACACTTCACAAATCGACACGGCAGAAGTGATAAATACTTTAAAATCCAAAGTCTCATTAAGCGGGAGCGGAGTTACAGGCTCCAGCACCCCTTTCCATTGCATTTTCACTAAATCCTCATTTGCATTTAAATTGCAAATGTAATTTGGGCTGGAGTTTGAGCTGCTGGGCTATTAAAATAAAAGTATATCTTGACGACCGGCAGCAGAGGGACGCCTCGAATGCCGTCGGTGCAGCGCAAAGGCTTTGAGTTACCAGGGCTTGCAAAGTAACCTCAGCTAAAGGGGCTCGGGGTTTTATGAAGGTGGGTTTTTCCCAGTACAAGAGAGTTTTCAAAACTTGAATTTAGAGGTGGTTCCTCTCCCACCACTCCCCAGAATGCTGCCCTGAGCGGGACCCTGCTCATTTTCAGTGCCTGAGAGTCAAAGGAGAGCTGGAAACTGCTTGCTATCTCTTATTTTATTATTTTTTTTTTAGAAAGCGTGGTTCCTATACAGAAATGCCATCGAAAGCCCAAAATCACGAGGGCTGGAGCTGGAAATACGGGCTGAAGCACTTCGCCAGGTCCCGGTCGGTGCTGCAGACCCGGCAGATTCGGGCAGGAGCCCGAGCTCCATCACACAC